AAGAAAATCCCTGACTAGAGTGGCTTAATAAATTAGTCCTCTCAACTCTACCTAATCCTAACCTTAACCCATTCTTAATTCTTAATGTTAGAATACTTCCCAACATCAAAGCTATCAACCTCTTGCAAATGCAGTCCAGAAATGTCCTAATTTTCTTTCTGTTACTGTGATAAATACTTACTGTCTTAGTTAGGGTTTTTATTGCTGTGAAGAGACACCATGACCATGGCAATTGTTACAAGGAAAACATTTAATACTGGGCAGTATCCTGAGTATAAGAAACCTCAAGGCCTGCCCTCACAGTGACGCACTTCCTCCAACAAGGCCATTCCCACTCCAACAAAGCCATACCCTCTACTAGTACCACTCCCTATGAAATTATTGAGGACCAAATATGTTCAAACTACTACAGTGATCCAAAGAAAGTTGGGGGAAGATCAGGTTTGTTTGGCTTTTGTTTTCATATCACAGTCCATGTGTCATTGAGCAAATTATGAGCAGGAACTGAAGGCAAGAACCTGAAGGCAGGAACTGAAGCAGGAAGCATATAACTCTGTTTCCTGGCTTGCTCTTATACAGACTAGGACCACTTGCTTGGAGGCAGCACTACCCACAGTGGGTTCAACCCTCTCACATCCATCATTATCCAAGAAAATGCAACAATCATCCCAATAGAACTCTGATGGAAGCCGTTCCTCAAGTGAGGTATCTTCTTACTATATGGCTGGAGTTTGTGTTAGCTCAGTTGACTTCTTGCCAACTTGATACACAATAATATCACTATTGAAATGTAACTTTTACTTGATTGTTTCATCCCAAGTATTCATTTACCTGGGAGCCATCTTGATACAACTGTAAGTTCTTCCTTCTTTAATACATATTAGAACAATTTAGAAAAAGAAGGCGAATCCGTTTCCCGAATTTTGATGAGCCTAAGATGTCCATCTTCAGCACTATTGAATTAAGTGGACTTTGTAGAATAAGGGATTACATGCACAAAATAAACAGACAAACCATGTGCACACTCACATAGCAATGTAGAAGTTGGCACAATTTCATTCACAAGGTAAAGAAGACAAGAACCTGACTCCTTTGCTCCCTTCAGTGGTGCCTTTCTAAAGTCTGGTCAGTCTGTTTAAACTCATAGATATTCTAGCTCTGCCTCTTAGAATGTAAACTTGTCCATATAACTGTAACTTACCTGTAAAATGGGAACTAGCTAGTATTTCCTTCCTGAGACTGTCATCTGCATTAAATGAGATAGTACATGAAAGAGACCCAAGGGCAGTCTCAGAGAGCTTTAAATATTATTATTTCAAATAGTCATTAACATCTAACTACACACACACACACACACACACACACACACACACACATATATATATATATATATATATATATATATATATATATATATATGATGGATGATGGTGTTGAACAGAAAGGCAGAGGCCAGAGAAGCATTTTTGGCTTTATACATATTTGAACTTGATCTAGGAGCCAAAGGGATCTTATCAAGTTTTAAGTCAGTAGAAGAATTTAAACCGTGGTATAGCATAATCAGATATGTCATAATACAAATCTTTAAGGCAGGAAGCCAAGATCTTAATCCTGTCAAACACTTCAGACTAAGGATGTCAAGTTGGTTTGAACCAGGTTCTGGAGAATAATGTAGACCAAGTCTTTGGCTATATTGGTAAATTGAAGCCATCATTTGATTTATGAGCAATAATACTACATTATAAATGCATTTTTTTTTTTGGTTTTTTTTGAGACAGGGTTTCTCTGTGTAGCTTTGCGCCTTTCCTGGAGCTCACTTGGTAGCCCAGGCTGGCCTCGAACTCA